TGTATGAAACAAGAAGTAACAACAAAAGGGGAATGTAAATATACTTGACTAACCATTTTGTACAACAGAATATTAAAAACTTATCAAAGTTTTTAAAAAAGGTTTGATGTCAGGTCGTAGAATAACATTATAAGTTTATTTATCGATAGTATTAAGTACAGTAAAGTTTAGTCCTATCTAAACTAAAGTAAAAAAAACGTACACAGGTTACAGTGTTAATTTATCTCTTTATCGAACTTAGGCCTAACATAAGTTAAAGTTTTATAAAGTATAGCCTATGTACAAGTGGATTTACACATTTCGTTGTCTACGATTACAGTTAGTTTATATTGTGCTAGAAATGTTATATTTAAAGAAGTACTGTTACGATAAAGATACTAATTTGGCCGGAAATGTTTTGCGGGTCTCTGTTAGTTTCAAATAAAGAGAATACGTTATCGATTCTAAAATGAACACCTATTAGTAAAGCTTTGGTTTGAACAATCGCTGTGCAATTACATACATTTATTAGACAAATAACTAATTAATTATCTTATTATCCGTTATGACTTTCCACGATATAATTAGTTGACTACCAGGGGTTTATTCTGAAAAAAGCTCGAAGGTATCTCTAGATCAGCTCATATCTTTCTTATAAATAAAGTTAATTAATTAAATACAGGAATCTAAAAATGAGCTGCTACCATTCGATCAGCAGTCTTGTTTCGAGTCTCCACCTTCAGGAGAAAAGCTACGTACAGTCACCAGATTATAGTTAGGTAATAATGAATAATACAGAAACACGTTGTGTTTAATCATACTGAGTAAGGAGATTTAAGTCCTGGCGACAATTACTGCGAAGGAACTTTAACAATCTATATAAATATAATAGTACTATCTGTTGTATGTATCTATATAAATATAATAGTACTGTCTGTTGTATGTTATCTATATAAATATAATAGTACTGTCTGTTGTATGTATCTATATAAATATGATAGTACTGTCTGTTGTATGTATCTAGACAGTACTATTATATTTATATGTTGTTTGTATCTATATAAATATAATAGTACTGTCTGTTGTATGTATCTATATAAATATAATAGTACTGTATGTTGTATGTATCTATATAAATATGTTGTATGTCCATGTAATTACTTAGCAGGGTGTTGCTGGATCTTCACCAAAACTGGTATGGAGGTTCATTAGGTCCATACGGGGGGCACATACAAATGCTCAATTTTGCGGTTTTAATGAGCGTTTTTTTCCATTAATTCGCTTCCTGTTGATGGACCTTCATCATATTTGGCATGAAGGATTGTGGGGTACATGCGGAGATACATGGAAACTTGTGGTTTCACATTTTGTGTCTTGCAGGTTTTTGTTTTTTTTTGGGGGGGGGGGCGTTTTTTACAATTACTTATAAGGGAAGCAATTTTTCGTGTCCTAAAATAACCTTTCATTAATCACGAACTTACATAACTGCAGCTAATATATAAATATATTTACAAAGATCATACATGATATGTTTGTTTTGTATTCTCATAGAGACACTGCATGTCTATAGGCACGTGGCGTTGGATGAGCAAATGACTTTAATGTTTTATAATAATAAACGTTTGATTTTGGTTTGTTTTCTTTTAATTTCGCGCAAAGCTACACGAGGGCTATCTGCGCTAGCCGTCCCTAATTTAGCAGTGTAAGACTGTAGGGAAGGCAGCTAGTCATCACCACCCACCGCCAACTCTTGTGCTACTCTTTAACCAACGAATAATGGGATTAATCGTCACTTTATGACGTCTCCACGGATGAAAGGGCGAGCATGTTTGGTCTGGTGGGAATTCGACGACCCGCAGATTGCGAGTCGAGCACCCTAACCACCTGGCCATGCCGGGCCCAATAATAAATTTATACTGAAGTGCCACTTAACTGTTTAACTAAGAAACAATATGACAAGTGTTTATGTTTTTCTCCAGGTTCCTCCGCCACCAGCGCCGCCCCCGTCTATAGAGGGGAAGTGGATGAACTGTCTGTTGCTGAAGCTGGGATTGTTGAAGTGAGGAAAGCTCTACCAACAGTAACGGTTCGTGGATTTCTCAACTTTCGAACAACCATCGACAATACGGTGATCGTATTCACACCGGCCAAGAATGACAAGACAGAACGCCCCAAACCACGCCCACCTCCGTCACTACAAACATCGTTAGCTCCCGTTATTCGCAATAATAACGAAAACACAAACATTCAAAATTTAGCCTACACCCGTAGTCCACGTTTATTTAAACCACGAGCTAATATACACCATCCAGTGAAGGTGCCTAACCACGACGAAACTCTTAACAACATTATTCCAACATCGGCTAACGTAGTTCGTGCACGAAGCCAGTCTTCGCAGTCCAGTTCCTTCCTCAAAACCCAGCCATCGACCACCACTCTTAGGGCAACCCCTGCCTCACGCCTGTACCCAACTGGTTTGGTGACCATTCTAGGGGGCACACTGGTAGGAGATGGAGTTACAACAGTCCACGAAACAAGCGTCATTGGGACTTACATTGACGGTAAATATGCCCAGATCCTCCACAGTACTTCACGCCTAATGTTTGATGCATCTAGTAAAACCAAGCAGAGAACATCTGTGGAAGACAAGAATACACCCTCGTCAACACCCGTTGTTTCACATCAAGCCACCAGGAGGCCTACGTTTCTATCAACTTCTCGTCAACGACACAGATTTCATTTTCCAAGTCGCGTGGCGACATCTATGGGTCATCATACTTCTAAAGAAACCGAATCGCTTACACGTGAGAGCTTGAAACCGACAACAGTCAACAGCATCTCCAGTAACACTGTCCTCCAGTCATCATTTAAACCTCCAGAAATTTTCCCTCGGCGGTCTAGTCGACCAACTCAATCTTTAGACAGTGTCCGCTCCAACACGATGGTAACTTTCGCCATCCGACCAAATCCATCTAGCTCTACACCATCCGAGGAAGAAAACACAGTTTTCATCAGGAGAAACTGGAGACCCTCGGCAAGGTTTCATTACACTCCCAGAAGACGAAATACAAATACGGTGTGTATTTTAGTTTTTCCTCCACCTGCATAAACCAATGAAATTGTAGGCAACATTCAACTGTTTCATGAAGGTTACTTCAATACTGAGTGCAACTGGTGTTAATGTTAGTTGTTTGTAAACTAAAACATAAGATCAATTTAAAATTTTACTAATCTACCTCTACTCTAAAGCTGTTTGCGTCGGAGAAACTTAAATAACACCAAGTGTATAGGATTAAATGGCGGTTTAATGTTTATTGTCATTATGTATATCACCTGTTTTCACTGAAATGGTAAGTTTAACCACCTGGTGTCGGTTTAATTTAATATACATCATTTCATTTTTAGGTCCGTTTGAATCGTTTCAAAGTGAAACTGACAGTGGATAATAAGAAACAGGAAATGGAAGAGTCATTTCCTGTCGAAGAAGAGGAAGAAATAAATCAAAATACGGATATTGAGGACTCGATAGTTCCTCTGGATCCCGTTAGGGTGGTGTACGAACAAAGTACCGTTACTAGTGAAGTCACTTTACACGTAGGCCGTCGAAAATCCGTGCGGACACTGACCATAACAACAACGGTTCCTCGTACTATTGAACCCTCAGAGGTTACCTCGAACGACTTACTAGAGAATACTGAAGAAGTTAGCGAGAACAATGAGCTGGAAACAAACGAGATCCTTGCCCAGCACGTGATATCGCGAACGTTCTCCACCACACATCATACTTGGCGGACTTCACTGATCCCCGTGGTCGATGGACTGTCTACAAACATACACACAATAACTGACAGCTTCGTCATCCGGAGGATTATTACTGCTTATAGGACGATGCCTCCAGACGATCTTCTGCTATCAAACAGTTCAGATATTCAACTTCCTGATGATATTGATTCGAGTCTGGAATCCACTCTTCTCCTCAAAGTGCTTCCCGTTCTGCCCTCCCCTCGGCAACGTCTCGTGCAAACCCCCGTTCCCCAAGTTTCGTCACTTCCTGTCCAAAACAATCCAGAAAATCCGTTGGAAAAACCTCTTTTCTCACTAGGTGCAACTCAAAATCCCTTGGCAGCTTTGTACTTCGGATTACAACAACTCAACCAACAAGTAACCCATCTGTCAACCATCACTAAAACGTCTTCTTACGTGACGACCGAGACTGTGTACAGTACTAAGGTGGTCAGTATATACGACGGACGAGCCACGCGATTCAGAACACTATCAGAGTCTTTATTCACCACTGAGCGAACTTTGACCTCTGTTACTACGACAGTCCAGCCAATGGTCAACACTCAGGCGCTTCAGCAACAACAACAATTACAACAACTGTTTGGAACCCAATTTCTGCCGTCTCCACCCCCACAGTACAGCACTGTTACCTCGTCTTACACCACTGTTACCACGGCGACCAGTACTAGAACTCGGGTGTACACGCTCATTTATAACGCATTTAGCACTAAATATCGTACGGTGACAAGCACCAGTTTTTACCCGGCCACGGTGACATCTTACAGCACAAAAAAAGTGCCTCTAACCCCCACGTCCCTACCAGGCAGTTTTCCCTTCTTTGGTTAAACACAAGTAATATTGATTTTTCTCAGGATTCTCTAAGTCTCGGGACAGTGATGAACAGACGGGAGAATATATTTCGTCAGAAATCGGTGGGATGGAGATTAAAAGAAAACGATACTATTTATGTGCTACAAAATGTACAGAAAAACGTTAAATTGTTAACTGTTCCAGTTACCAGAAGATACTCTGTGAGAAAATTAACAAGCTCGAGAGTAGGCCTAGGGCCTTGTTGTTTACGTAGACTGATTTTGAAAGTGAAGTCGAAAGATATCAGAAACAAAACTAGTTATTTAACCCATATTTTTAATACTGATAAGTCAACGTTTCTCTACTGATACTGAATATGATTCGTATGTAACGAAGGTTCGTTATGAAAGAAATATTAATACGACATTTAAATGTTTTGTTGTTGCTACAACAACCTGAGAAGGTTGTTTAAATTGTCGTCGTTTCTTTGTTTTTTAAAACATTGGTTTGATCGGAACTATACATTCTAACTTGAAATATATTGTATAAAATCCCACAGGTTTGTCCAAATTTAGCAAGGTTAGTAAATATACCCCAGGGTAACAACAGCCACTTATCAACAACATCAGTGAACGAAAAGCTTCTTCTGAGACGAGAAGAGGCCAGATAGGAGTCGACTGGGCAACAACATTTACATTCCTAACTGTACAGACTGACAGCTTTCAAATTAAATGTTCACTAAGAGGCTTGACTACACAGTCTGTTGGTTTCATCTGGGAAACGTCACTTAATCTAGAAAAATAGGGTTAGGTTATGTGTGCATTATTTATCTTCAACTATAAAGTTAAAATGAAACGAGCAGGAAAGACATGAAAGTAACTACTTCTCTTATCACCCGACGGTAGAAAGTTGACTATAGTTAGCTTACTATAAATATTAACTAACGCCCTGCTATACTTAGCTTACTATAAATATTAACTAATGTCCTGCAATACTTAGCTTAGCTTACTATAAATATTAACTAACGCCCTGTAATAGTTTGCTTATTATAAATATTAACTAATGTCCTGCAATACTTAGCTTAGCTTACTATAAATATTAACTAATGTCCTGGAATACTTAGCTTACTATAAATATTAACTAACGCCCTGCTATACTTAGCTTACTATAAATATTAACTAACGCCCTGCTATACTTAGCTTACTATAAATATTAACTAACGCCCTTTAATAGTTTGCTTATTATAAATATTAACTAATGTCCTGCAATACTTAGCTTAGCTTACTATAAATATTAACTAATGTCCTGGAATAGTTAGCTTACTGTAAATATTAACAAACGCCCTGCAATACTTAGCTTACTATAAGTATTAACTAACGCCCTGTAATAGTTAGCTTATTATAAATATTAACTAACACCCTGCAATAGTTAGCTTACTATAAATATTAAGTAACGCCTTGCTATACTTAGCTTACTATAAATATTAACTAACGCTATGCAATAGTTAGCTTACTATGAATATTAACTAATGACCTGCTATACTTAGCTAACTAACGCCCTGCAATAGTTAGCTTACTATAAATATTAACTAACGCCATGCTATACTTAGCTTACTATAAATATTAGCTAACGCCCTACAATACTTAGCTTACTATATATATTAGCTAACGTCGTACGATAGTAAGTTCAGTATAGATATTAACTAACGCCCTGCAATAGTAAGCTTGGTATAAAATTTAAACAACACTCTGCACGAAGCACCGGTGTTGGATTAAAAATACACAGGTGTGAAACTAAGCACAGGTGTTGGATAAAAAAAACGCAGGTGTGAAACGAAGCACAGCTGTTAGATTAAAAACGCAATAATTAAACGAAGCCCAGGTGTTGGATTAAAAAAAGCAGACGTTAAACGAATCACAGGTGTTGGATTAAAAAACGCAGACGTTAAACGAAGCCCGGGTGTTGGATAAAAAACGCAATAGTTAAACGAAGCCCAGGTGTTGGATTAAAAAAACACAGACGTTAAACGAAGCACAGGTGTTGGATTAAAAAAAGCAGACGATTAAACGAAGCACAGGTGTTGGATTAAAAAAAAGCAGACGTTAAACGAAGCACAGGTGTTGGATTAAAAAAAGCAGACGTTAAACGAATCACAGGTGTTGGATTAAAAAACGCAGACGTTAAACGAAGCACAGGTGTTGGATTAAAAAACGCAGTAGTTAAACGAAGCACAGGTGTTGGATTAAAAAAAGCAGACGTTAAGCGAAGCACAGGTGTTGGATTAAAAAAAAGGCAGGCGTTAAATGAAGCACAGGTGTTGGAGTAAAAAAAAGCAGACGTTAAACGAAGTGCAGGTGTTGGATTAAGTAAGTGCATGTGTAAAGTAACCGTGTATGAGGGACATTGTAACAAACGAAGACACAAAATACACCAGGAAACTACTGAAGAAGACCTTAAACACGCTGACAGGTTTTTATGGGTAGGAATGAAGGAAAGGGGGAATTCTTTAAGCACACACAGACACGCAAATATATGTATGAAAATAATTTTGAGGCCTTACGATATATTGCCATACACGTGGTATAAAATTGGCGAAACAAGCCAGGGTATACTCTAATTTCTGTTTATACGACGAATCTTTCTATAAGAAATTTTTCACATGTTAACGTGAAATATCATTATATCCGGTAGCTTTTTTAATTAGGTTTTGGTTGTACTGTGTCAAAGAAACTGACTGGGTTATAAGAAATTGTGTTTTACCATTTATTACCTGTATTAACAAACAGACCCTGTTTTTTACCTGAGGAGCGTTTCGACAACGTGTTCCTCATGAAATATCGTTACAAGTTGTGTATCTGTTACAAACAGGATGTAGCGCGTTCTCAGCGTTGCTATTGGATGTATGGAAAGTGTAAGCCGACAAACTATGTTAATGTCGAACAGTCTCTGAGTCCAGAAGAGAGCCTCAAGCTATACTCTCTCTGCCCTAGTTACCTTCCTTGAACTGTATTATTTAAAAAGACAAAAAAAGAATAATACATCACTCTTAAGCCTAACGTGCGCAAGGCTTAATAAAACCACGTCTCAGTGCGGAAGTTCCTCTGAACTAAACAGTCGACCCCTGATACATTTTCTACTCGCCATTTTTTGTTAGAAACAAGTTTAGATGTTGCTCGGAGTTGTCAATCACGCGCTAATGTTTTACCTCACATTAAGCAAAAATCTGCGAAGATAAACAAATATTCCTCAGATTATTGGAGAAGAACCTATATGAAAATGTGTTTTTCTTGTTCAATGACGATTACGTTCACTATTGAAATTATAATAGAGCAAATAGATACAAACAGAAACTATCGGCAATCTTAGGTACTATATTAGAGCAAAACATCTTCGTCTTGGATCGTAAATCACTTGTTGTAATATAGTCCCTAACAATACCGACATATTCGTCTTGGATCGTAAATCACTTGTTGTAATATAGTCCCTAACAATGCCGACATCTTCGTCTTGGATCGTAAATCACTCGTTGTAATATAGTCCCTAACAATGCCGACATATTTGTCTTGGGTCGTAAATCACTTGTTGTAATATAGTCCCTAACAATACTGACATATTCGTCTTGGATCGTAAATCACTTGTTGTAATACAGTCCCTAACAATTCCGACATCTTCGTCTTGAATCGTAAATTATTCGCTATAGTATAGTACCTAAAATTACCTACAGCTTCTGTTTTGATGGAATTACAACAAGTGATTTACGATCCAAGACGAATATGTCAGTATTGTTAGGGACTATATTACAACAAGTGATTTACGATCCAAGACGAATATGTCAGTATTGTTAGGGACTATATTACAACAAGTGATTTACGACCCAAGGCGAAGATGTCGGTATTGTTAGGGACTATATTACAACAAGTGATTTACGATCCAAGACGAATATGTCGGAATTGTTAGGGACTATATTACAACAAGTGATTTACGATCCAAGACGAATATGTCGGCATTGTTAGGGACTATATTACAACAAGTGATTTACGACCCAAGACGAAGATGTCGGCATTGTTAGCGACTATATTACGAGTGATTACGACGAAATAATCTCTTGCTTCTATATCAAGAAATGTGAAATGTTACTTCTCTTAGCAGGAAATATCAAATGGAAAAGAAATATCGAGATCTTTCTCTACGTTTAACGTTATTAAAGTACAACTAACCCCCACTGTTCTGTAACTAATATTATCCGATAATCATCTTAGAGTTTGTGAATTTATTAATAATTCTATGAAAATCCCAATATTTAGTTTCTTATTCTCAACAATAGTCTTAGTTATAGCCAAATGTAACCTCGATGTTAATGCACAGGGGGTCCCAGAAGTCTGGACCAATAGAACAAATTGACATTATATTTTTAAAGTTAAACAAACACATTTATAATGTCAGAAAATGCCCTGGTGGCAGAGTATACCAAGAATTGATATATGTGTGTGTGGTTGTTAATGGCAAACGAATTAAATGATAAATAAATTGTGTTTTTTTCCCTGGGGGTCCAGACTTCTGGGACACCCTATAATTTTATTATAAATGGGCGCAATAAAGGAGTTGCAGCTTTAGTTGAGTAAAACTGCCGTTTGATGGCGCCACATGGATGTATTGTTTAAAGATTTGATAAAAATCACGAGTGGACAGCGGATTTGATAGGATATTTTGTCTCGTGAGGTAAGGAAAACGTCAGTGTTAAGTACTAATATAATATATCAGAGCTATATGTTAAAATATTATTATGACTGTAGAAAAGTTGAAAAACATTGTATATATTAAACTTTTTATGTTAACATCTTGTCTCGTCTTGTTTATTAGAAACATTCTATTGAAAACAGAATTTTAAAATTAGTTTTAATTTTTTTAAAAACTACGAGAACTGTGGGCTTATATCTATAGAAATTTGATATTTTTGTCAGTTCAAGTGTTACCAAAAGTATTTTTTTTAAACATGGCTT